CAACTCCTTCAGTGACAGGCTGCCTCACCCTGCTGTGTTTTTAAGGAGCGATACCTCAGGTCCGTCCTTCCTGCTACTGTCAGACTGTACAACCAACACTGCTCCCAGTCAACCACACATACCAAAACTATGGACAACAATCATCACTCGTGTGCAATATCTGTATCTGTTTAACCTCCTGAGACCCTCTGTCCTCATATAAGGATGTCACATTTTGGGTTTCCCTGACCTTATACTTCATTCTACTTAACTCAAACCTGTTGTCCTGGTTCGTGGACACTTTTTGTGCCATCTAAAGGTGGTAAGAGCACAATACACTAATCCATGTGAAAACAAGATGGCAGCCATCTCTGCCAAGTCAGTCTGCAACTGATCTCGACACAGAAGTTGACAAGGTTCAAAACCTGAACACGTTATGGTTGAAACTTGTTTATTTATGATTAATAATGTTTGTAGTTTGATACGGCAACAAGTTTGACCAATTTTAGCAACAGGAACAAGCTAAATGCTGTTAATTAGGAGGTACTCATTTGAGGACAAGGGGACTTTATTATCGTCTTGTTTGAGGACACTGGGACTTTATTATTGATGACAATTTTTAGTTTTTTATACTCATCAGGTCCTACTGATCCCAAATAGCTAGGAGAAATTAAAAATGCATACCAGAATAAAAGTTCAGGTCTCAGGAGGATATACTAAATATCTTCTGAGCTTTAACAGCCTCCATGATCCTGTGAAGGCTTTTTAGGATTGTTGAGGAGCCGAGGAGCGACCACACTCTTAACTGTGCTTCAATGACGCCTCGTTAAGGCCTAATCAGAGGTGCAGCAGTAGGAGACAGAGGCCTGTTTAGACTTGGTATTAACATGTGTTTTGGGTGATCCAATCACAAGTGGACAGCTGAGACACATCACTGCTCACACCTGTGCCTGCCATGTGTCTCCAGCTGTGAGTTCAGATTTCATTACTGCCTCACTCACACTTATTACGTCCACACTTTTGCGAGCTGCTCTGTAGCACGCTCACTACTCCAGTACAGCTGGAGATACCACAATCACATGTCTCCCTCCACAAGGCAAAACGAGGGATGGTCACGCATCACTTCATCCAGCTTGGCATAAAATGGGTACATTGCAGAGCATTTGTGCGCTGTCACCAGAGCAACCACCACGTCATGCACTGATGATGTAATCCTTGTTAGGGACGCATCAGGACGCATTAGCGTTTACACTACAAAAGATATGTGGTCAAATGCGTCAGACCACCTCAGCGAGTGGTTTGAGTGACTGGATCACACAACATGTGTTAATACCAGTGATGGAAAGAAAATTCTTAGATTTGTGACGTTTTCTTCGAATTTCCCCTTAAAGTTAAGACTAGGTCCTAGTAAAGATAAAAGTTATTCACAGAGCATTGTAGACTTTAACAGAGCAGAGAGGAGGAGTTTAAGAGTTTCTGAATCAGAGGAAAAAATTGTGGAAACACAAAGAGGTCAGAGAAATATTCTCCAAACGCTGGATAACAGTGAGTTAATGAGATGCTACAGATGAGACCATATCGGGATAATATGTGTGTGTGGTAGATGTCATACGCATATATTTCCCACCTAACTCTGTGACAGCAGAAATAAAATGATCACAACACTGAGATATTTGGAAAACTGGAAAAATACAACAGAGCAGCAGTGATGAGTCTGTCTCAACTTTCCATCAGCAGTGATCACACTAACAGTGACAACACTTTAACAGTCAGTTGTTCATTTCATTTCCACCGAATGTCCTCACCTTACAGGCTCACAAAGGGGCGTGTCTCTGACAACCAATCACATCTGTGAAAAGAATGCATCATAGGGAAAGGTAAAAGTTTCTGCCTGAGTTGCTCTGAGAACTTTCCTAAATCACTCCTGAGCCAGGAGCTCTCTGAGAGAGTTCACAGAGTGTTTGTGAATACAGCCCCAGGTCTGAACGGGACACAGGACACTTTAAAGGAGCAATAAGCGAAATCGTTTCACCGCTAGGTTCGCTGTTGTGCACTGCCTGTAGAGCAAAACAAAGTGTGTCATGAGCCACTCCTCCCTCTACCTCTGCTCTCCAACACCCCCCCTTGCCTCGTCTGTGCCGGTGAGTACCGCAGCATCTCCACAGACTATCACATCCAGACGGTCCCGGTGTTTCTTCTGCAGGCTCCGCTTCACTCAGCTTCACTCAGCTGCCCGATATACCCACTGCTTCTTCCCACATTAACCTGAATAACAAACCAGGGTTCGGTGCTCCGGTTGGATCCAAACGGAGAGCCACTAGCTGGGAAGCTAGTGGAGGCTAACTGGCTGTGTTATAGCAGCTGAGTGAAGTGGAGCATGAGGAGGAAGCACCAGTTAGCCCCCGCTTCAACTGCAGGCAGATTCACTCACCACAGGGGCGAGGAAATAAAACCTAAACAGCCAACTTAGTTTAGCAGTTAGCGATGTCCTTCACTCACTCTCGGTCTCTGCTGTGTTTAGCTATTTTCCTGCTTTCCTGTTAGCGTTAGCACTACTCGGCTGCCACGCTAATGCTCCAACTCCAACTGAGCTGGGAGCCGGGCTCACGGTCTCACGGAGTTGGAACGTTAGCATGGCAGCCCATTAGTGCTAACATCCCCACGCTTCTCCGCCAGGCTCAGTGAGTCAGAGCTGAGAAGCTTGGGGACGTTAGTGTTAGCACTACTTGGCTGCCATGCTAACGTTCCGGGAGCCTGCTTAAGCGTGGGGACGTTAGTGTTAGCATTAGTCGGCTGCCATGTTAACGTTCCAACTCTTCTCCGTGGGCTCACAGGCTCACAGAGAAGAGAGGGGGGAGATCAACACAGAGAGAAGGTGTGTGAGGTCATGTTATACTCCAGATGAAATTACACCTCTAGTTCTTCACATAGCAATTTTTTAATTCCTTCAATCTAGAAATGATGAATTTTGCTTATTGCCCCTTTAACAAGTCCTGTTTGGTGTGTGTAAAGTTCATTGTGGACATTGATTGACGCCATGTAAGTCAATATCAGTTTGAGCAGTTTGTATTTCACATCTCTGTAGGCTTATTGCTGTTTGTGTGGATACATAGGCCTACATTTTTATACTAAGTTTGTTTCCTTGTTTCCAGGGAGTCAAACAGCCCACTGGCCCGCCATAGGGTCCAGTCCAGCTGCTACTGATGCCCTCATGAAGAGGTGCCAGGATTCAGGAGCAAGTGACACACTGAGTTGTTACTTCATGTAAAATGCTACTTCAGAGGCTTTTCATTCACACCAAGCAGAGAAAAGCTCTCTGAGAATACAGTGAAAACTTCCTGCAGTCATTTTAAAGATTTTAAACATTGTGTAATCAGCTTCAGTACAAAAAACTCTGTATCAGACTTCTGTCCTAAAATAATATTGGTGGAACCCTGTCGCTAGGACACTGCCAAAACCTTAGATTTGTAAACAGTTTGTAAGACGGGGAACAACTTCACCTGCTTCCTCAATAACTTCTTAGTTTGGTGTGGTGATGTCAGCGTTACACAGGAGTGGAAATGTCGGTACGTGTGAGGAGTTCAATCAGGAGAGGCTGGGAAGTTTTTGTTTTGTTTCAGTTTGAAATAATCCTGAACTTTGGTCTCTTCTTTCTCTCTCTTTCATCATTTTGTAATCTGTGATATCAAATTCCATCTTCTATTTTGAGTTCAGATGTTTGAGGTTTCTTCTTCACATCAAGTGTTCACATTGTGCCACGGCAGAAATCAGTCCGTGAAACACACTGCAACAGAAGCTTCACTGCAGATGAGTTGCAGAGATGATTTTCAGTTTTAGCGGAGGGCAACATCAAAACAAAAAGCAATGACTGAAGTCCTAATTCCCATGTCTGAGCATTTCTAAGACTATTGAAAGATCGATTTAAGACAATTTAGTACTAATTAAGGCCCTATATTTAGATTAATGAATTCAGTGTGTTTTAGGACGTTAAAAGGATCCCATGAACCCTATAGTTGAGTGACACGCTGTCTGCCAGTAGGGTCTTCAGCTTCTCTGGTCACTTCTGGCTCCAAAATTCCAAGATGGCGACGGACGAAATGCCGAACTTAAGGCTGGGTGATGTCACAGTGGATACGTCCATTACAATTATAGTTAATTTGACTGCCTGGAGTAAAGGTCAAATCTAAGTCCTACCTCCCAGGTGTTTTCACTGACACACCGGTGTAAATGCGACCACACTCATGCCGCAGTCCTTCACCTCCTCTCACAACATGTTGGAGCCTCATTTATAACCACTGTACACACAAAAAAAAGGGGATTTATAAAGAACAAAACTTGATGAGGACATGTGCATAAATGTAGGGAAACTCCATGTGAAATTTTAGTTTTCAGATAGTTTTTGTGTGTAAAATGGCTGCAGGGAACATGAGTGTGTTGTCAGGTGCACAGAGCAACCTGGAGACACTGCGGCACATCTTCACCACCTGCACATATGGATCGTGTAAATTAGCAAAGACTAAAGATGCAATTTTTTTTGGCATCTACCTTTAGTTCTGAACTTTAAGAAAACATTTAGGTAGTGTCCTGTTTGATAAACTTGCTGCATTAAAAGCAGCAACATGTTTCCACTCATTTCTGACCCGACTGCACACTGAACAACAGACTCTGCTTTCTAACTTCCTGCTCACCCAAAAGCATTTTCTCCATTTCTGTGTCAGGAATATTCGTTTTCTTGGTTTTCCTCTCAGCCATTGCAGTGATTCACCATAAAGAACCACTGATCAGCCAGCTCATGTCTATGCATCCATATTAACCCTTTAAAACCTGAGCACTTGGTTTTAGAAATCTGAATATTTTTTGGTGTTTGTATGTGCGCAAATATTTAGTGTGAATTCTCTAAATGAGGCAAGGAACAATATTTCTTTATGGAGCGGAGGCAGTGTCATCTTGACACAAGGGGGAGGAGCTTGTCCACAAATGTTGATCAGTCAGTCAGGGTGCGACACAAAAACAAACATTTCTTTACTTTTTGCACATCTTTGCGGCATTTATTTTCCCTCAGTTATACACAACTTATATTCAAAGTAAATCTTAAATCACAAAACACCTAACACACAAACGATGAGGGTGAAAACAAATAAAAAAAGCCATTTGTCTTTTACACACCGTGAACTCTACATACAGCGTGTACAAGCCCTCTTTGTAGAAATTACATCCAAAAAAAAATCTTTTTTTGTCTTTAGCCAGAAGGTTGAACATTTAATCCTAAAATACTCAACCTGTCATCTTGAATGAGGACAAATGGACGAAAAGAAAGTTATTCTAACATTGACATCACTTTCTAATATTGACATCATACTTGAAAATCGATGCAGTAAATATTGTCATCTCTGCTATTGACAGTAATTACAGAGCTCAGAAAGCATCTATCGGTCTCTTCTAGAGTTTATAAAGCCCCGACACAGAAGCAAAGGATTTAAAAATCTTTTCGCCCTTCAGTAAAATAAAACTCAACGGTACAAAAAAGCTTTAACACACTTGAACTCACAGCTGTTAGAGATTTGAAATGAGAGGACAGAATTCATGTTTTTCCATCATCATCCTTTCCTTCTCTCCGTTTTCTTATTAACTGTTCAAACTTTATAAAATGACATCAACCTCTACAAAATGCTCACTGGTGACACACTCAGGTTCTTTGTGAAGCAGTAGAGGATCTAATTTCGGCTCTCTGAGATCACAGGATCCTTTTTTAGCATTAAAGATGAGCCTCAGACAAAGATTTACATTCTTGCAGTATCATTTCTAGTCTCCTGCAGGAAAACTATTCACTCCTGTTTGTTCTGCAACCTACAGACAGAAAGAAAAACAGGAACGTGTGACTGGGCCATTAAAATAATCATTTTTGAGTTTACAGTAAAAACTGGAGAGTACAACATAAACGCAGAATCTGAACAGAAACATCAGCTTTGTCACATTAAAAAGAAATTCGAGTGAATCACAATCTGCTGCTCGATGTTTAACACCAAACAACCAACAATGAAAAACAACAACAAAAAAGCAACTTCTGGAGATATTTTGGCTTTAAATAAAAAAGTTAAACAGTAAAACCAAGTCAGATTCAGCTAATGATTCATATAATGAGATCAGGTTTTACAAACTCAATCCAGAATGGAGACAAAGTTTTTCTTCACCTGCCTGGACAGTGGCGGCGGCATCAGGTGTGGCTACAGTGACTCATCAGGCTGTGATTTCACTTCCTTTCCAAAGTCTTCAACACCGGCTGGAGAGATGATCAAACTCACAGAGAAGTACGGACTGGCATTAACTCAATGTTACATAAATACATACATGAATGTAATATAAAATAAATCCTGAAATAAATAAATGAGGCAATAAATAAATATTAAAAGAGTCAATGTTCCAGTCGTTTAATAAATAAACAGGTTTTTATATTGGAGGGGAAAAAGACATTTTTCAGAAGACTCCTTTTATTTATTTCAGATGACTTTTCTTTCCGAATTTATTTCCATCTGTTATATGCAAGTGAATTTGACTCAGACTTAGCAAGCTAACGCATCCAGCCGTCCCTCCGACTCACCCCCCGCTGCTAGAAGACTACTTTGCTGCGAGGGGACCTTTGTACACAGAGATGGCACCGTAGAGCGGCTGTGAAGTCTCTTCTTCCTGCTGTCTTTGCATTTTTACACAAAACCACACAACAGCAGTATCACGTCACCCCAGTATGTGATTTTAGACAGCATGCCGGCATAAAGGAATCAAAAGAGGTGTCATTTAACACAACATTGGCCTCTAATGTGACATATAACACCTGCATCAACAATCATTTAGCATCCCTGTTATGTGGCGGCTGATCTCGTCCTCTGCTCACAGGGTAAGGAGCTCCTGGACCTCAATGTTTTCCCAATTGTGTGGACATTTTCAGCTGCTGTTCTTCTTTGAGTTAGCTGCTAACTGCTAACGGCTACTTTTTAAATCTGAGGTGGGTCACACTCATAATACGTCGTCAAACGCCCATCCCTTTTATAGACATAGTTTCAGCGCTGCTACGACCTCTGACGCCGCTTTAAAGGTGAGACAACACTGAGTCGGTGAGATAACCACGCCCTGTTCATCTGACGATACGGATGAAAAAAGACAAGCTGGCAAATAAATTCTGAAATAAAAGTTGCCATGAATAAATCTTCTTCGTCTTTTGAAAAATATCCTTTTCTAAAATAAAAATCTATTTATTTATTGACTCATTTATGTTTATATTTACATGAATGTACTGCCTCATAAATGCATTTTATGATTTACTTCACAGACATATTTATGTATTTATTTTTTATTTAATATTGATTTAAATGCCATCCCATAGAGAAGAAGGTGTTTCAATAAGTACATTAACTGGAGATGCAAACCAACTGATTCAGGTGCAGAGAGGAGTCACAGATGTGACGGGGGAAGCAGCTTTTTCACTGGTTACATGAAGCTCTGGTACTAAATGTTAGTATTAGTGAGGTGTTAGTGCGGCCAGAGGTGATGTTATGCTAGCTTTTGTCCCGTATCACGTTGTTGTCCGCCAGATGGAAATGTAAACAGCCAAAATGTCCATGGGAAATTTGCCAAATAACAAAATAATATCATTAATAACATTAAATTGCCTGATATTGTGTGACCTATAAGATAATATATACTATTAGTTTATTTTAATATTCAATTTAAACTTATAATAACCAGATTTTAGGATCTTTAGTGTGGACTGATGTGTTTATCCTCTGGCGCTGTACAGAGTTCATCCCACAGAGTGACGCACTGTCTCGTTCTGCGATCCAGCTGATCACGTCACATCAGGAATCACATTCTTCAGTTTAACTTTGATCCAAATATTCTCAGTAACTTAAAAGTGCAGTGTGTAATTCTGGAGAGAGATAGATGATGTCTCATTCCCAGAAATACCGACGACTGCCAACCCAAAGCTTCAGAATTTGACGACCTGAGAATGAGACTCAACAATCAGCTCCCCTTCTCCGGAGTTGCAAACTGAACCTTAACTTTATAAAAATAAATGTTTTAAACCAGGACCTTTGGTGTTTGGATCAAGTAGGTTGTGAGAAAATACAATGTCAGCTTATGTTTATATAATATAATCAACAGAAACACTCTATCAGACTTAGCAGATATTGAATATTAGAGGAGTCAAAAACCTGACTGGGGCATCTGTATGTGTGCACTACAGCTGGGTTTCACATGTCAATACTTAGTTTGATCCTCTGTGTCCATAGCACAAAGCATCGAAAGCTGGCATAGTTTTATAGTTTTATTTTCTTTCAGTATTCTTATGGTACCTCTGATATGGACAACTTTGGAAAAAGTCAGGTCTGTTGTTACACAAATGAAGAGTTGTGTAGAAAAGAAAAGGTTGATACACAGCCCTCGTGTACACTGATGGTTTCCGGTCAGTACATGTTTGTAACAGAAGAAGACACTCATTATAACGACTGTGGGTACTGACAGCTGCTGAGCCATGACCACATGTTGAAGAATCGAACCGAACCTTTCACTTATTCACAAGCTTGAGTCATTAGAGGAGAAAACGTATTTCGGTTGGGAAGCCAAAGTAATAAAACACCACATCAGGGTATTCCAGGGTCCAGATGGCTCTGTTCGAGGATGAAAACCTACTGAGAAGAGACTCTGAAGGTCTATGGAGGTCGATGTTAACGTGTCAAAGGGGCTGGTTGTTGTGTGTCATTACAAGTTCTGACTGAAAGCTCTGCAGTCCCTCCCAGCCCAGCCTCAAGTAAAGTGGTACTGCTCTGAGTACTCTGTGTCCTTGGGAGTGTACTGGTTGTCTCCCGCTACCTACTGTGTGTCATCTCCAGGGGCGTACTGGTCGTCCCCGGGGGCGAACTGGTCATCCCCAGGGGCATACTGGTCGTCTCCGGGGGCGTACTGGTCATCCCCAGGGGTGTACTGGTCATCCCCGGGGGTGTACTGGTCGTTCCCGGGGGTGTACTGGTCATCTGCTGCAGTGAACTGGTTGTCTCCGCCGGTGTACTGGCTGTCGCCCTCGTAGTTCTGTTCTGCTGCGTCTTGGTTCTCTGCGGTGTTCAGGCCTGATTTCTTCACTCTGTCAAAAGACACATTAAGACTGTGACATGTCTGTTTTTCTAAGGACAGTCTGATCACCTACAACACATCTATACGCAGGGCGTGCTGGCTGTCAGTGTCAGGATGAGTAATGAAACAAACTGGAGATGAAATGTGACTGTCGGGCTAAAAAGTGTGTGTACTTACTGGTTCTTGTGTTTGGCACCACTGATGTGAGACTGGTACTGCTCCACAGAGTTTAGCTCGATGTTGCAGACGGTGCAGGGATAGCCCTTTAGTGTGGATGCTGCCAACACGCAGAAAAGGAGAAACGTTTTGGGGGTTTTTTTAGGTCTGTAAGATTGAAACTGTCCACGAACACATGACTAATTATTTAGTAGTGCCATTCTGCAAACACAACACGACCTCCTGGTTCTGTGCTCTGACCTGGTGCAGTGGAGGGGCCGTACGTCTCCATCAGCTTCAGCTTGGTCATCTGTTTTCTATGCTTCTTGCCCACATAGTGCTGCTGGGCCATGAGCGGGTTGTTGAAGGAGGCCTGGCAGATGGAGCAGAAACGGTCTGGGTTGTTGTTGTTGCCACCCGTCACCGACATACCGCTAGAATCATCTGCAGGTTTCTTCTTCGGCTGCACTGTTGGTGGTGTTTGGGAGGCTACTGCCAAACAGGAAACACAATAAAAAAAAATGAGCACCTTTAGAAACAAAAGTAAAATACATGTAAATAAATAAGGACTGGGTGTCGGTACTTGTCACTTTGAAGGTATCGACCAAATCAACCCAGTATCAAGTAGTATTGAGACTTTGTCAGTTGATTGATACCAGTATTTTTTGTACCCACATCTTGGAAAAAATGAGTTTGTATGGTTTAACTTGCAGCCAATCACCACAAGCGTTCCTCGATTTAATGCAACGTGTGATTGGCCCACTACCGCAGCAGCTACAACATACAGTCTGTCAAAGCCACAAAGTCCCTTCTATATGCCGCCTTTGCATCATTCTGCTCCAGTGCGTTATTATAGACAGCATGCAGACATCTTGGAATTGAGAGACGTAACAGGTGTGACATGAACACAACAGCATCAGCCTCAACTGTGACACATAAGATGCACATTAGCAGCACTTTATAAACAATAACAATGGAATTAACATGGTTACAAGAATCCTTTACCATCTCTGTTATATGGCGGCTGATCTCGTCCTCTGCTCGGAGGGTAAGACAAACATTTTCTGCCCCTGTTCTTCTTCTTTGAGCTAACTAGCTAACTGCTAAATGCTGCTTTTTAAATCTCCTGGAGTAGGTCGCACGCATAATCGTAAAAACATGACACCCGTGCTGCCCATGATTCCGTCCTGTTTGTGCAGACATCATTTAAACACTGTTACAACCTCCAACGCTTTAAGGTGAGATAGCTCTGTTCCCCTATTCTGCAATTCTACCTTTAAAGTCCAGTTCAGACCAAAGGTTGGCGACGAGACAAAACTGTTTTCGAACGTTGCCGAGAAAAGTGTCAGCAGTGTGAACTGGCCGGCCTTAGCTCGACTCAAGCCGGCTGAAGGTGTCACCTGATACCTGTGAAATGGCCGGTGGCTGGTTATAAAGCATGTCACCTGTTTCAACAGCCAATCACCTATCGTAAAGTCCGCCGGTCAAGTCAAAATGACCGCAGACGGCGTGTTGGCTTGCTGCAGCAGGTGCTCCGTCCCCACCGTGCCCTCTGTTTCCGTCCTCACGCTGTGCCAGTGTCAGATGGTGGGTCGCTGCTGCTGTAGTCTGAGTGGGCGGAAGTTCGCTGCATAGATCAGCCTCTCATTGGGCGGAACGAGCCACCCGCTGAAGTCCCGCCCAACCACCTCCAGTTGTGTAGCAGTTTTCAACTGTTTTCAACACGTCCTTTACTAACTTTTGCGGTGTTTGATCTTGCGGGGATGTAGCCATTTTTCTGCCATGGTTCGCGTCCTGTAGGCGATATTTTTTTTGGGCGTGTTACACCAAAACCTGTTTCCCGCCGGCAATATTTTTGCAAGCGCACCGTTGCTGTGGCACCGCCCAGAACGAGTGTGACTGGTTGAAAGAAATACAAGCAGCCGGGGCATTTTTTTCTCCAATCTTAAAGTGAGAGTCGGCCCAGCCAGACCTTTCTTTTCTTGAGAAAGGTCTGGTGAGCGAGACTACTACTGCTGCTGCTGCTGGCTGTATGTGTTTGTCTCATCACACAGCTTTGATCTGAAGTGGGCTTTATAGACGACGAGGCACCCTAACAGTGTGAAATTCTGAAAGGCTATCAAATGAAGTTCTCTACTGGCATCAGTGTCACTTCAAGAGTGCTGCTATAGTCATTTTTAAATGTTATCTATCCTCATACAGGAAATAAGATAAAAAAGTAAAGAGAATTAGAAGAAGAAAATGGAAGGCACAGAGCTGGAGGTGAGGAATAAAACTGTACACAATAAGAGGCACATACCTGGGGCCTGGGGCCCGAAGGTTTTCAACCTCAAGTTCTTGGCGTGAACTTTGCCCTGGTAGTGAGACTCGGCCATCACAGGAGAGGAGAAGGTCATGTTACATACATGACACTCCTTCATCCGGTCGCTGTCTCCATTGTTACAGTCCTGCTGACAAAGACACAGCAGCATTAATCATTTATGGCGACAGAGGGCCTCGTTTGTCTTTTTAAACAAAGGGTGAACTTTGTGTACTCACACTGTCAGATGATGTCTTGAACTTCTTGACCGTTGGCTCCTTCTCATTTTGGAGGGAAAAATAACGGCGCACTTTATTGGCATGTTTCTTGCTCTGAAGAGACACAAGCAGAATTGTTTTATCACAAAAGTGACAACAAACGCTGTGTCAAACTTATTTTCAGAAGTAAGAATAAGGAAGTGATAGGAACTGTTGAAAGAGTTGAGAGGGGTCTGATTAGTGAGAACTTGAGTGATACTGTTAAGATGGAATATTTTAAGGGCTGCTGAAAAGCTGAGGCGACGCTGCAATGTTAACTTTAATGTGTAAGAACACAAAACTACACACAGGTGAGCAGCAGAGAGAGCAAATATTCTTTATTTTTCAGAATAAAACAAAGTAAAAAGCTATACAGTATATGTGAAATACTTTAACATCTAAATAACTATTATGAAGCCACAGTTCCTTTTATTTTTAAAAAGTCAGTGACACAAGTGTAACCTTTGACCCCGTGATCACACTGGTCACAGAAGTGGAGGACTCCAGCCATGAAACTTTGCAGCCCGAGGATGAGGTGGCAGCCTACATGGAGTTCAAGACACCCAAGGAGGATCCTTTGGAGGTTTGATGGTGGTGGAAGGAGCATGCTAAAATGTTTCCTAACCTGGCAGTGATTGAATGTTTTCACCATCCAGTCAAAGACACGTCCAATTCAAGAAGGGGAGAACCAGCCTAATCTGAGGGACTGGAGCCTGGGGGGGTTTAATCACGGGACTTTTATTAATGGGTGCGGCTTTGACTTAAGCCCTATTCGGACGGGATTAGTTTTACATGGGCACATGGGGTAATGTCACTTTACCACAGGACGTCGGTAATATTAATGGCCAATTCACACGGGATAAGAAATATCAGTAAAACTATCACAAGTGGGAGGGGTAAATCAATTAACGCGCCGCCGTCCCCTCTCGTCGTCATGTGCATATGATGATGCTTCCTGTGCGTACCACACTCGAACACACTTCGTTCGTTCGTTCGTTCGTTCGTTCGTTCGTTCGTCGTAGGCCCACAGTACCTGAGGTTTCACACAGACTTGTCCGACTGTGAAGTGCAAAACTGAGTGCTTCTTCAAGAGCCTCCATGCTTGAAAATCCCTGAAAAACCACTTGTAAACAGGATATGACGAAATATCTACACACATATTTACTGCTGGTCTATTCACACGGGATTAGTATTACCTGAGGTAATTTTCCAGGACCTTTTTACAGAAGGTAAAAGCCGCGGTAATCTTTACTGACATCGTGTGGTAATGATTACTGACATGGCACATTCGGACGGGACTAAAATTTCTGGTAATTATTACTTTACCCCACGTACCTATGTAAAACTAATCCCGTCCGAATAGGGCTTTAGACATAATGACGGGGAACAGGTCAGTTCTAGTACTGGCTTTTACGGGTATGGCCCCGTGCAGGACACAGCTGTAAAGTGCATTCAACAATCACTCCTCCGAGCTAATAATTACGCAGCATTCACTGAGCATAGTAGTAAAAAATAAAGTCTCCTGACATTGAAACAGCAGCAGCAGCAGACTGTGGGCTCACTGACCTGATAATGAGTCAACTTCTGAGACTCAGAAATGAGGACAGCACTGCAGACTTTACACTGGGAGTCAGAAAACAGGTCACCGTGCTCCTTTATCATCTTATTTACTGCAGGGGGGAAGAGAGAGACACAAGATTTCAAATCAGGTCACATCTTTTGGGAAAATGTATTTTTAACGCAACATAAAAAATAATCTGTGGCAAAAGTTCAAACAACAAACGATCATGATTGTAAGCTCAGCAGTGTCCACACTGATATCCTCTGTGTTAGATATATTTAAACAAGCACCTTGTAAAGAGCTTTCTGTCTCATACTAACTCAGCCTCTGAGATGATCCCTTGAATACGTGTTAACAATACATGCAAGTATGCGGGGCAGCAAATCTGTAAACACCAGACACACGTTTTGGGCCCGACTGTGAGTTTGACTCAAACAATCTGGAAAATGTATTTAAGTCGCTGCGTCAACAAAAACAACTGGTGATATATTAGACAGATGTGATTAAGCCAAGTATTAAACCAGGGGATTAAATCTGGTTGGATGTGACATCGTAGGAGTGTTTTGACATCACCGTGTCTTTTTCTTCGTCAGTTTGGATGAGCACAATTTAATTTAAACCTGACATTCAGAATGGACCTGTGACCCTCCAGTTGAGAACCACCGTCCTAAGTCATGGTTTCAAGATCACACTGTTGGAGCAGTGCAGCACGAATTTGAAAGTAATAAATCTTAAAGCCAAGATCATACAGTAAATTTCTTTGCATTCATTTGACTGCCAGCCAAGACAGTCTGGTAAGAGTTGTTTTACCTTCCGACTTCAGAACTGTTTCAAAATGTAACATAATGAAATTTTAAACCGACATGTTAAATAACATTTGATCGAGACTGACTACTGAAATTCTGCGATTAATTGCGATTAAAAAGTGAATCCCATGATACTTCCTGTTCTTACAGTTTCTGACTGTGATAAAGGTGTAATTATGTTGATTGTAAAAGAAAACATGACTTTAAAACCCACATTTACTTTAAAAAATCAGCAGCAAAATGAATAATCTCAGGACTCCCTTGCAAAAGAGATTCTGAATCTCAATGGGACTATTTCCTGGTAAAATAAAGGTTAAAAAAAATAAAAATAAAATATTAGGGATGCACAATGATATCAGCTCATTGTTGGTATCGGCCGATATCAGCTTTAAAATGAAATATCAGAATCCACCAACATGCTTTTTTCTTATTTTGCACAATGAATGAATGAATATTACAAACAGGGAAAAGTACTTTCCCCACAAATACAACATGCTAATGTTTATAGCACAAACCTATGGCATTTTACATTGTATAAATTAGCCGAGTGGCTAGCGGAGATTTCCTCTGCTCATATGAAGCCAGGATAAATCTCACACACGACTAAAAATGCTATTTTTGTGGAGGCTTTATTGTCTTAACAATTCATTGTTTATCTGTGAAATTAAAGTAAATCAAAGCTTTGTTTCCACTGAGGGAAATGGTTTCAGCTTATAGAAACAGACAGGAGGTCTGTGTCACCTCGACATGTAGTTACATTTCTGGGGAGGTGCACGTCAGGCTACGGCGTAGGGTACAGCATCGTTTCAACGCTTAAGTATAAATCCTGCATAGAGTATAAATGCCCAGTATAATGTTAATTCCACTACAGAGAAGACTTGATGATCACTAAAATGAGGTGGGGAAAAATATACAGATATTCAGTCATATAAAAGTTGTGTGTCCCTCCTCTGAGCCTAAATAAAACCATAAGACCCTCCCAGTGCTGAACAAAGTCTCTGACATGGTTCCCCCTCTTTCACCCCCTCCCCGTTAATAAATACAGAACAGTCCCTAATATGAGCTGAAGTAAACACACAGAGAATATGACTTATATATGATCCAGTCACACATACATAAAGCCATCAGACACAATTGCTTTTTAATATCTAGATTGAGGCACTTCACATGTAACGTAGCCCCCATGCTGCTCAACAGTCACATGTGCCTTCTGTTACTAACGCAAAGTAACGTTACACACGCAGGACAGGGATTAACGTTACACCGTTAGCTACCGACGGCCTCACCACATGCCCGCCTGCTGCCCCACATCCACACCTGCCTCTGTCACCTCATCCTCCACCAGCCCGCAGACACATCAACTGATGCACGATCACTGTGAGGCACCATCGGATGCAGACATGCTCTCATCGACCTTGGAGCTGGAGCGGCTACAGCTAGCTTAGCATAAACCTGCTCCGCTCCGATCAGCCTGCAGTGCCGGCTAACGTTAGCTTGCAGGAAACTAACGGCAACAGTAGCAGCTCGAGCCCGTTTCACCGCGACTGTGACTGAGCGCGATGACGCAGCTTTTGTTTAATATAAACGTATAAATGCTGAATAAACAGGTCATACCCTCCGCCGGCCCCGAAGGTAGGTAAGGAAAATCCTCCGTTTGCATCGCGACGGCCATAGTTTCTGCTTAGAGCCAGCGGCGTCCTAATGCGCATGCGTCAGATGGCGGCAGAGAGGATAAAAATACAGAGCTCTCACTCCGCGGGTGTTTTCATGTACCAGGACAAATCACAGCGTTCCCACGGTCCTGGAAAACCTGGGAAAGTCATAGAATTTCACAGTCTCATTTTCCAGGCCTGGAATTAGTCTAAAATCATTGGAAGTTTTGGGAAAGTCACGGAATTTTGTTGTTTGTACTAGAATTGTTACAATAGTCTTTCAGGGTTAGCCTTTCACATAATGTTGGGCCCTAGTGCATGCCATCATGCACGTATCGTCTCGTCACATGATCAGACATTGGATAACATCAACATATATATATTACCCGCTATGATGCTTGTATATCTGTATAAAATACCAAAGAAAATAATGAATTAAGAAATAAAAATTTTAATTTAACAAATCTAAATGGTGATTTATAGTTTATTGGTTGCAATCACTCATAAGGGCCTATCCTCCACATTGTTGCACTTTCTCTGTGCAAGCAAGCTTAAATTATGTTTAAAGAGTTTGAATCTGACACATTTACAGGGCAAGAGGGACAACAAAATTTGTTCATTTGTTCATGAGTTTGTCCTGCAGGTCTTTGTAGTCCAGTCAAACTGTGGTTTGACCTCTGGAAAACTGCAACAGCAAGGGACTGTTCGTTACTTATAAGGGGGGAGGGGTGGTACAAAAAGGGGGAGGCTTGTCAGAGGGAGTTTTTTTTTAAAGTTTGGCTTAGGGGAGGGGCATACAAATTCAAATGGTTGTGTTTTGTATTCATTTTACTGCCAGTTTTAAAGAAAACAGGAGATTGGAGGGCATGGTTTTTTAAATGCCATGATAAAACCATATATCACAGCCAGAAACTGTAAAAACAGAAATTATCATTGACTTTTCATATTTCCAACGGTCCCTCAACACATCATGTGCAAGGAAGGCTTCCCTCAGAAAAACAAACAAACAAAACAGAACCAAACCTGACCCTAAAATAGTGATATTTAATCAAAATCACATGTCTCATTTAAATTGTGGCCAAAAATAATCCGTTTGCATGACAAGAGTGAAAAACTGAGACTTCTTTCAACTTCAGGATTTTATTTTCAGCTTTTAATTTTCCAACATTAAAGGGTAAGTTTTAAAAATTGAAGCAGCACTCTCTTAGTTCTTTTATGTAGCTTACATTCAGGACCATATGTACAAAGGTGGAGAAGGTATTCAGACCTTTGAGTAAGAGTACTAATACCAGACTGTAAAAATACTACATTACATACCAGAATTACACCATTTATCACAGCCAGAAACTGTAAAAACAGAAATTATAGTTGGATTTTCAAATTTCCAACGGTCTTTGGACACATCATGTGCAATGAACCCTTCTATCAAAAAGGTAACATCCAAATCTGAGGTTAAAATAGTGACATTTCATCAAATCACTTTATGTCTGGTTTACAGTTTAGCCAAAAACATAAACCATTCACACTAACCAGGTGGCGACCTCTGAGGCCACGGTTACACATGGTCTGCAGTCGTGAGGTTGGACGTCCTCCCAGATTCAGGGAAATGACACTGGAGATGTCTCATGGAAGTGAGATGAACATTCAGTTCAGAAGGCAACAGCTCTGGTGGACATTCCTGCAGTCAGCATGCCAGAGGCACAATCCCTAAATACTTGAGACATCCTTGTCATTGTGTTGTGTGATGAAACTGAACATTTAGGCGTGTCCTTTACAGTGACCACAAGGCATGCCTGTGTAGCAGGTACAGATCGGTGCTCCAAATAACCCTTCCCTTTGATTCATCACAAAAAAATGGGTGTTGGGTGGAAGTACCCCAAATACAAGTGCATTAGAGTATCCTCTGAAAAACAGTTTTATTGACAAGATTGACCCCTGAATCTCAGGAAAAGGCACCAAATATGTTGACTAGGCGACATAGACCCTCTGTATTAACACCATCTTACCCAGACTGTAAAACATAACCTTGCTTTTGACCTTGCGAAAAGAATGATCCACTAAATCCATGAAGGTATACTTTTTAATTTATGATGCAGAGGAGACCAACAAAAACTATGAAACATGCTATTTCTCCTGGGTTGGGCCCTTTTTTTAGTTAGACTGACTGGACTATTGTTACAACAACACAATTTGGCCAAAAGTTTTTTTGCAAAGCACATCTGCCTTTTGTTTAGTTGTACTTGTTGCCCAGTTGCCACGTTTGCATGTTTGCAGTGGTGAATGAAGCACTCAGATCCTTAAAGGGATGGTTCAGATGGAGTGCTTATTCATAGACTGAAAACAACCAAACTAAGGGCGTTTTCAGACCTGAAAATCCGGACCAAGGTCCGGACCAAGGTTCTGTTTTTGTTACATGGTATACATTTGGTCCCTTTGTTTTGCATTGACATTGCAATTCTGTGAGTGGACTAAAGAACTTTACGTGACATAGTTACATTCATCTACGTGGGTTGTGTCACCTTATATTTGACATCAATTGGTTTATAAATGTGCGGGGGTCTGATGTCAGCGTGTTGTCAAGTAGGCGGGTAGAAATCCTCTCAATGTTTACGAACATTACCTCACGAAAATGGACGAACCGATTCTAATAATTGCCACGCTACTCATACTATTATGGCATTGCTATCAGCTGCAGCACCAATGTAGAGCACAATACTCGCGGCTCGTTCAAAAACGAAATATAAATCTACACCTTGTGCGAAGATGTCATCGTCACCGGCAGGAAAGGAGGAGGAGACAGTTAGCCATGTTAGCAATGCTGAGAGCCCTGCCAACTCGGGAGCGACAAGTGTCGAGGTGAGTGACCACAGATGGCTCATTTTTGATGGTGGACTTGACTTCTCTCCTGGCAGAAATGAACAACCGGCGCACCAGAATTTCCTGTCAATGGTCCGAAAGTCCATCCAAAACAATGCTTTAACACTAGTAAAGGACTGGACCATGGTTCCGTGTGGTCCGGACCGAGACCACCTCTTTTGGCCGGACCAAATTTCGGACGTTTGGTCCGGACCGTGGTCCGGGGGTAGTTTTCACACCTGCGGACCAAAAGTCCAAAAGTCCAGACCAAACGACCTAGGTGTGAAAAGGCCCTAAAGGTGAGATTCTCCGTCCAGTTGCATATTTTTCCCAATATCGTAGATAAGCAAATGTTCACAGTACGATAAACGTAACTGTCATATATATATATGTATATACCACTGCAACCCTAGTATGGGCAATTGATTAGCTCCCGCTACTGCTACAGCAAATCTTTTCTCAAGTTTAATGTTAGCTACCCCATGACCTGACCCCGACCCTTTCACTTTGACCTGACGTGATGACATCATATCAGATCAGAGCAATTAATTAAAATCTCTTCATATGCTGCTCAAAATGTAAAACATGTTCAGACAGCACATGAGTTATGGTAAAATAGCTATTTACAGACTGTGTTGTTCCATCGCTCGTCAACAGGGGGTGCTACAGCACCCTCAGCACCCACCTTCATTTGTAAACTATTAATAATAGGCATATATGGAGGGAGATATGATGAGAGCTCAGAGAAAATGATCATGTTGGTTGTTAAAGAGGCGACGCTGTAAATGAACATTTCTAAAGCTGTGGGTACAGACCTGTCCTTCTAATTTTGGCACAAACTGCCTCCCTTCTTTAACAACACTTGGTGACGTCATGGCTGCAGTACATGCTTCGACTGAAGAGCCAACACGCAACACAAAGCACGACTGGAGGCAAAGCCAGTCAAAGCGCTGTGTCTCTTGGCTCGGCTCCGAGATACAGAGCTGCTGCTGATTCTGCACTTTGAGACAACATACAGAAATTTCCAGAAGAGACACAGAGTCTTGACTGGACAGATACACAGGAACAATCTGAGGCCAACAGGCTGTCCACTTTGGATTTGGAGACGCAGCAGCTTTCCTGCCTTGTCTTGCAGAGACTACATGCACACTGCCTTCATTACACAGAGACAGATCAACAGACATGTCAGATGTTTCCCCCATAACATCCCAAACCCTTCAGATGACACCAAGAAGTGACACGTAGGCCTACTGCAAACGCCTTGTCTCTCTGCTAAGCCTCAAAGACCTCAGTGAGATCATTGAGCTGTTGGCAGATAGGATGGTGAAAGAAGAACAGACTGAGAGCAGAGTGTTCATAAGCCTCACAGCCTCTGGGAAGAAGCTGCACTTTGGTTCATGCTTTGAGGCTGCGCAGCCTTCTGCCTGAGGTGGGCCATCCTTAAGACGGTGGCTGTGTTGGTGGCTCACGTGACGTCATTGGAGATGTGCAGGCCCAGGTATTTGAAGGTGGACACCACCTCCACAGCTGCTCCTCTGATGAAGAGGAGAAGGGAGGGTGTGGCCTCTCCCCCTAAAGTCTACAACCATCTCCTTAGTATCAGTTTCACCTCCAGTCTGTGCTTAGACTCATTGTTGGAGATCAGTCCAGCCACAGTCGTGTCACCTGCAACGTTCACTATATGATTGCTGGCGTACCTCGCAGGGCAATCATATGTGAGGAGCGTGTACAGCAGGGGGCTCAAGACACATCCCTGTGGGGTGCCAGTGTTGAGTGTGATGGTGGAAGATGAGATGCCATGGATCTTACCAGACTGTGGCCTGTTTGTCAAGAAGTCGAGGACCCAGCTGCTGAGAGATGGTGTTCGTCCCAACAGCAGCAGTTTATTGACTTAAGTCTGTGGGATGATGGTGTTGAAAGCAGAACTATGACCGCTGATGATAAAACCTTTGAAAGACTGTTTTAAGAGACCTGCATTGGCAGTTTGGTTCTGCAAAGGTTCTGCAGGCTGCAATGATGTCACATGATTCAGTTTTCAACAGCACAGTTGTTCCGGCCCTGAAACATCACCTGATGTCTCCTCCATCATGCCTCCAAAGAAGTGTGTTGAACCTCTAGCCTGCTGAAGAAGACGGATACATCCCATGAGTTCTGACCAAGATAAGGACACGATCACACCCATCAAAACTGTCAGTGCTGCACCTGAGAAGCAAAACACAGAGGCCCCTCATCCAAGTCCTGCAGAGCTCACTGAAGCCAGTCAGAGTTTCCAACCCCCACACCATATCCAAAATCAAGCCATGTCTCTCCCTCAAAGACCTGGACACAGTCACCCACACTCTCATCTCCTTCCGTTTAGAGTACTGTAACACTCTGTACACCTGTATTACTCAGTCCACCCTGTCCCGCCTCCAGCTGGTTCAGAACGCCACTGCCAGACTCCTCACAGGTACCCAGAGGAGAGACCACATCACATCTGTTTTAGCCTCTCTCCGCTGGCTGCCTGCGAAGTTCAGAACTTATTTGAAGCTTCTCCTGTTTAATAGTCTGGCCCCATCCTACATCGCAGACCTCCTAACCCTCTATTCTACGCCCAGGTCCCTCAGGTCAGCTGACCTGGGGCTCCTGGCCGTCCCACGCTCCAGACTCAAACTCAGGGGTGATCGTGCCTTTGCTGTGTCTGCCCCCAAACTGTGGAACTGCATCCCCCCCTCCACTGATTCGTTAAAATCCAGGCTCAACACTTACTGTAATTCATTAGCGTTTGAGTGGCTTTTTCTGACATGTGCCAGTGTGTGTCTCTGAATGTATGAGCTGTGTGCCTGACATATGACTTATGTTGCCTCTCGTGTTTTTAGCGTCTTATTCCTTTCGTACAGCACTTTGGTCAACATGAGGTTTTTTAAAATGTGCTTTATTAATACATTTTAGCTGAGTTTCCTCTGAACCAGTCAGAGTTGTTAAAGCATACTGCTGAAGAGGCACTGACATCACTGCTCAAGACAGATATGATCCTAAAGTATCTGACAAATAATCTACTGACAGAACAGACACTTTTCCCATTCTCGGAACCCATTGGCTGTATTCAGTGCCTGACTTCAGGCAGACGGCGATACAGCCTCTGGGGGCAGACCCCTTATTTTTTGGCATTCCGGTTTGATTTGGGCGGAGGAGGCGAATTTCCGTTTCCGACTTCCGTTTATATATAAGTAAATATGCTGAACCATTGCGATGGATCCAGAGCTTGCAGTGACGCCAATTGTGTTCCGCCTTGTTAGTTCACCGCACGGACCATTTAACCAGGCAACAACTGCAGCTGGCTCAAACGTGATTGGTCAATATCATGCAGCCTACAAACAGCCTACAACCGGAAGCCAGGGCTCTTCCCCTCTTCTTCCGGAGACAAGATCTCCGGGGTTTGCCTACAGACTCTACATTCACTGAATCAGACTCTACATTCACTGAATGTGACGAGTCTCTCTGTTGAATCTGAGTCAGCCACTAGGTGGAGACAAATAGCCGTTAAGAACAAGAGCACAGTGTTCCATCAATGGGTTTGAGGGATACAAATCAGGGATGCATGATATTGAATTTTTTTTGGTGATATCAGATATGCCGATATATAACAACCCATTTGACTGATAACCGATATCGATATATCCCCTTTTATTGGCCTGTTCCCTCCTAATTTTAGTGATCATCAAGTCTCTTCTGTAGTGGAATTAACATATTATTCATGTATACTCTTATGGTGACGGCCCACCAGCAGATGGAGACATGAAATCTAATACTTTTCAGTGTCTGTAATATTCATTTATTGTGCAAAATAAGAAAAAACATGTTGGCCAATACCGCTGAGGTATCAATGTTATCGTACATCCCTAATACAAATAAATAATAGCAACTGCAATAAATGATACAAAAAAGTCCATAAAAACAAATAACGAGCAGCAATGTTAATCAAGAATTATAAACAATAAAACAATAAAAACAGTAAAATGTAGAGAATGAAAAAAAACATATGTCTGTCATAAGAAATGTCACTATTTAAATTACTTCATAAAAGTAATGTAACTTTTAACATTTGATTACTCTTTGATGACTTTCCTGACAAATGTTTTAAACTTGGCCACAAAGCCGACACATGTCCAGAGGTGGGTAAAAGAAGTGTTCGTGCACAGTGAAAACATGCAAAGCAACAGAATGAATATTATATTCTGTGTATAAGATTTTTACTAAAAAAGAATATTAGGATCTAACCTTTTTGTAATCACCAACATTTTGATTAGTAACTGTAATTAAATTACTTTTTTTCTCATTAAATGTAACAGACTACAATGATGTGATTTAATTGCATGAAACTCATTTCTCCCCAACACTTCCTATTCATGCTTCGTTATTATACTAAAGGTCACGTCAGGATATAATTATTTTATATGAACTGGACCTTTAAAATTGTAATCATCATTTCCTGTAGTGTAGTGGTTATCACGTCTGAGCTCTGTTTAGCCAGGTGTATTTCACCTGGCTAAACAGAGTTTAGTGGATGTCACTGAACGCATTATTATATATAGTTTCCGTAGTGTATTTGGTGTATTTTTATTTTCTTTGCAGTAAACACATATTTTTCTGCACTTTACCTGCTGTGTATCTGTGTTCATTGGAATAAATGTGTGTGTGGCCTCACTTGAAAAATGGGTAATTATGTTCCAAATGCTTTTCAAAGTAGAACTTCAGACAGGAACAAGTTGTTGTTGATGGGGTGCAAGATGCCGACGCCCGTACAAGTGTAATGCAAAATGTGTGAATAGTCAGAGAGCATATTCAAATTGGGACAATTGAGAAACTGATTTGCATTACACTTGTCCAGGTCTTGACATCTTGCACCCTATCAACAACTTATCACGTGATCAATTCAACCATTGTATGATCTGATTAGCCTCCATGTCCACATGTTGCTGTCTCACACCCTACCCCCATCATCAACTTGTCATGTGACCAGGCTACCCAAGGCTATGCAGGTTTTATACAGGCTGTTTGTAACTTTAAGAAAATCTAATTCTGTTGCTCTCACTCAGGTTAAATCAACAACACAACATTAGATTTCCTTGAGGATGTTTATTTGGTAAAAAGTAGTATGGAGTCAATTAAAAGTGATCAAGATCTAGATGTGCTCCTCCTGACAAGGACCACTGCCAGCCGGTGACACAAAGTAGTCCCTCAGAATGTCCCTCTGCGTCTTGGCAGTCATTCTTCATGGTAATGTACAAAGCCGAGCATGTTTCCATGACGATAGCGGAGACTGTGCTGGTCCCAATCCTGTACTGGAGGCGGAGGGACTGGAACATTTGTCCTGGATCAAAAACAAATGGAAAGGACTATTGCTGCGTTCGTTTTGTACTCGGAGGTCAGAAGTTGGAAGTGGGAATGATGTCATCTCCGAGTTGACAACAGTTTGACGACAGTGGACAAGTCGGAAAAAAACATGGACGCCTGCAAGAAAGCCTTTGTTGCCCTTGCACTTTCGGAGTATAGACAGTTTCAAAACCATCATGGACTCCAACTGATGAAAGCCGCAGATATGACTGACCTAATGTAAAACAAATAAGATAAAATTGCTATAAACAGTACTTACCTATAGTGTTTACCCACTATGTATGTGACCGGCAGCCATCTTGAATTCGTAAATCGGGGTTGATGCAGTAGCTCCGAGTTTCCAAGTTGGAAATCCAATCTCAGGGTGCGTTCGAGTTTAAACTTCCGACTGGGAATTGGGAATTTCCGACCTTCGAGTACAAAGCGAACGCACCATAAGACCAACAGCCATTTTGAATTCGTAAGTCGGGGTTGATGCCGTTGCTCCGAGTTGGAAATCCGATCTCAGGGTACGTTCAAGTTTACCTGTGGACCAAGTTCCCCTTTCATGAAAAGTTATTCCCCGACAGAACATGACAAAAACCTCAACCCCAGCACTATTTCAGAAAGCAGGATTAATGAAAACTCTGAGTATGTTGAGTCTGAGATGAGGGAATCTCTGAGTTTTCCATTTCACACAGCCAATTCAGGAACTGCAGTTTCCTTTATAACATCAGAGTCACTGAACACATCAGAGAGACAACAGTTTGTCGGGCTGTAAGAAAAGTGACTCTGGCTCTGAAAAGACTTTTACCGCATGTTTTTGTGATTTTCCCTGGACATAAATCAGACCGGATCATAAAAGAGGAATTCCACAGAACTGCAGGTTTGTCAGTGTTATTAATAAATTAATCTACGTGGATACATGATGCAATTATTTATGAGTACGTTTAATATATTTAAGGATTCCCTGTGTGATTGGCTGCATTGATGGGACTCACATCCCCATCATTGTGTCATCTGAGAATAAAGGAGATGATGTGAATCATAAGTCAATTCACAGCATCAATGTGCAGGTAAGACCAGGTGGAGTAGGTAATGTCTCTCTAAAGTTTCGCTTCATGATTAAAAAAACAAATGCATCTTCAGACTCAGGCTCCAGATACATTACACACGTACCTCCACCACTCATGATTACAGGACAGTTTGATGGCATCCTACTTGGAGACAGAGAGGACCCCTGCCAGCCCCCTGGGGGCTTCCCTGTGCTTCCCTCAGGCTGAACAGAGTTGATTGAGCTAATTCTGATCAGCTGTTCTGGAACAGAAAACTCATCAACTCAGAGGCCGTTTACACGTACACAGTGATTTTGATAAACGGAGACATCTTCATTCGTTTGTGCCCTTCGTTTACACGCAAACGGAGATTTCTCCTCTGAAAACGAGTCTTTCTAAAAACTCCGGCCAGAGTGGAGATTTTGGAAAACTCCGAAGATCTTTTTGAAAACGGAGATGGTGAAATGTCCGTTTATGAAAATAGCCGGCAACGTGTAAACGGCCTCTCAGGCTCAGTCAACTCAGAGGCCGTTTACACGTGGCCGGCTATTTTCATAAACGGACATTTCACCATCTCCGTTTTCAAAAAGATCTTCGTTTACACTTACCCGTGTATATATACACAAGAGCATGCCAAACCTGTAGGTGGCAGTGTAACGAGAAGCTCAAGCCTTCCATGTATCCATTGTCACCATAGCAACATAGGTCGCACTTTTGACACAGGCGCAAGTTCCGGCGCATACTGTGATGTCGGCTGCCTATAACTCAGTTTATCTCCGTTTATCTCAGTTTACATGCAAACACGCAACCGGAGTTTTCCAAAATCTCCACTCTGGCCGGAGTTTTTAGAAAGACTCGTTTTCAGAGGAGAAATCTCCGTTTGCGTGTAAACGAAGGGCACAAACGAAGGAAGATGTACGTGTAAACGGCCTCTCAAAGATCGGGATTAGGCTCAGAGTTTGTTGAGTCTGCTTTCTGAAATTGGGTCCTGGTCTCCAAATTCTCCAGATCCCAATCTGCTCCAGTGTCTATGAAACATGCAGGTACCCCATCTCACACCTGACAGGTCTCAAAGGATCCGCCTTCAATAGACACCACAGAACACCCCAGAGCTCAACGTTTAAGTACGAGATCATCCTAATTATCCAACTGCAGAGTGGCTTCTTTGTTGTAAACTAACATAGGCTAAACATATTATTGAATGTTCATTTAGACCTATTGAGAATGTATATATATATATATATATATATATATGGCTGTGTTGCTGTGATGATATGTATTGCAGTTATAAAGTAGCTGCTGGTCAACCACTGCTCTGATCAGCTGTTTTTGTTCTTATTCTGCTTCCTGTCTTTCTTGTTTTCCTTCGTTTGCTTTTCTTTATGTACTTATTCTCCTTCCTTCTTTCGAGTTTCTTCTGTTCATTCATGTTTACTTTACTCTTTTTCTGTCTTTCTTGCGTGCCGTATGTCTTGCGCATTCACTACAACCATATCTAGATTACATCCAGAGTTGAGAAAACTTGTGTTTCTCCCCGTCGGGGAATCGAACCCCGGTCTTCCGCGTGACAGGCGGAGATACTGTCCACTATACTAACGAGGAGTGGTATGAAGAATTAAATGATATGGAAAGTGGAAATCGACGAGCCAGGGGTATCTGTGATATGTTCAATATGTTGCATGTTAAATTCTTTGACTGAAAATATTTATTATAAATGTTATTCACTTCAGCTGTCAGTGTTTAAGATGAAATTATTCCCTGTATGTTTGTATTTTTATTTATATGGACTTCTGACAAAAAACTCAGATTACATTGTGGACTGTGCAAATAAAATTAAACAAAAACTGCTCCATACAAGACCACACCAACGATAAAACAAACAATTTAACATACAAGGCAATGAATAAAATTCCTTCTTCAAGACTTTAAACATATTCTTTATATGTTACCTGTCCACCATCATGAACATCGGACATGCCGCAAAAAAAGAAATGTATGTGGCAAAATATTCAAAATGATAGTTGATTATCAATGAGAAGGTCTCAGTTTTATCAGATAATCATAAATATCCCTCTGCAGATATGAGGCAGATTAAATAGGCTGTGTTGGCGTAACTATGTGGAACAATCATTTATTGTACAGATATTTGACGAAAAATGTCTCTTTTGACAGTAGTTTACCGTTTGTCCCTGAACGCAGCACGTTTTCACAGTTTCCGTAGTGTAGTGGTTATCACGTTCGCCTAACACGCGAAAGGTCCCCGGTTCGAGACCGGGCGGAAACAAATCTGGATTTTTGTCATTTACACAGTTGGTGTTGAACTGGTGGTTCAACTACATTCATGTTTGTATAGTGACTCGAGTAGTTAAATGACTTAAGTGTCCTTCTGTGGAGTTAACTACTAAAACAGCAAACAATTTGGGGCCATGAAAGAATTTTTTTAATGATTTATGTATTTATTTCACTTTACCATTTCTTTCCTACTGTAACTGAATCCCCTCTGACCACCCCCACACCCCTTTTCCTTTCACCCAGACTGCTGTGATGACGTAACCAATGTGGTAACGTAGTAAGTGGGGGGGGGGGGGATTAATGTGCAGGTAGATTGACTGTCTCAAAATGTCAGACTGCATCACACTGCAAAAACTCAAAATCATACCAAGAATATTTGTCTTATTTCTAGTCAAAATATTTATTTCCACATTTATTTATTTAATTACACATTTATTTATGCATTTCTACATTTATATATTTATCTATATTTATGTCATGTTTTGTCCTTGTAGAAATAAATATATAAATGTAGAAATGTAGAAATACATAAATAAATACGGAAATAAATGTAGGAATTTAAAAATAAATGAATGAATAAATGTGGAAATAAATACATGTAAAAATGTACAAATACAGAAATAAATAAATGAATAAATGTGGAAATAAATAAATAAATAAATACATTTATAAATGTATAAATAAATAAATGTAGAAATGCATAAATAAATAAATGTCAATATATTTATTTATATTTTTATCCACATATTTAATTATTTATTTCCACATTCACTTATTCATTTATATATTTATTTTTGCATTTATAGATTTATAGATTTTTACTTATGTCATTTTCTTTACAATGAGACGAGCTTATTTAATGTTAAGCCCGCGTGTTCCTTCCGGTTCGGGGCTGATAAGCTGTCACTGAGAGAGGTAACATTAAACAACATAACTATCACAAATTTAAGTTTTAGCACGCTGCCCCTCTATGTTTATTGTGTATTTGTTTGTCCAATTTCACTGCTCACAACTGACTGAAATAATCAAGCCTAAAACAACAGGCTTGTTATGGCTGTGTGGTGAATATTTTGGCTGTTTGTGTACATGTATCTACACTCACCGGCCACTTTATTAGGTACACCTGTTCAACTGCTCCTTAACATAGAGCTAATCAGCCAATCTCTCTTTTGTATTTGCCTCCATTTTTTACAGGTTTAAAAAAAAAAAAAAAAGCTCTGCTACTTTTTACACACTCAAAAGACTTATTTCTCACATTTTGGATGCAAATTTGTTCAAATCTGTTGAGTGCTTCTGTTTTTTCGAGATAATCCATTCACCTGACAGGTGTGTTATATCCAGATTCTGATTAAACAGCATCATTACTACACAGGTGTGCCTCGGGCTGGTCACAATAAGAGGACACTCTAAAACTGCAAAAACTAAAGTGCTGTATTTTAATTTTTGTTCAGTGTGGTACTTAAGAAGTTTTGTATCTTGTTAGATGAGAAACAGGTTTTGTAGCAAAAAATATTGATGTTACTGAAAGTAAGGTATCAAAGAAAGTAATGTCAGTCGAGAAAATTATCTAGATGATATCAGAAAAATTATGAAAAACATCCGTCACAGTTGTCCAAGATGACATCTTCAAATGACTTGTTTTGTCAGACCAAACATCTAAAAAGGCAAATATATAAAACGTAAAATGATATAAAACAAAGAAACAGCAAGTCCTCACATTGGAGAAGCTGTAACTGGAGACATTTTTACTCATTAACAGCTTCAACCATGAAAAGTTTTCTCAAAAATGTTATTTTTTTATTACATATTAATTGATATTCGGTGGACAACTGTTTGGTTTGGAAGGTTTGATAGAATCCAAAGCAAACATGATGTGAGGTGCTTCCTCTATATTACAGTGGAGTTTAATACATGTTGTGATATAATCATTTACTGTGATATCTTGGCTGCAATAATCGTTGCATGGAAATGTGACACCAGCACAAATCTTAACAGGTGATCTCACAGCTCATATACTGAAAGGTTTTAGGTTAATAAAGACTCCATGTTCTGTGTTCACTGACAGACTGACAAGACGTCACAGTGATGCAGTGACAGCAGAGGACGTCTGCAGCTTCTCTGAAGGACGAAAGATGTTTCTGGGTTTCCTCTGGAGGGACTGGGAGTCACATCCACCTGGTGTTAGATATCCAGAGGGCGCAGTCATGTTCCCTGAGTCAGCCCTTGGAAAGGATGGAAGATTTAGATCTGTGTCTGCTAACAAACGCTGTGATGTTGAAGCTTTATGACTTTGCCCAAACAATGACCAAGTCTGAGACATATTTCTTGTTCGACAAAATGCTGGATGATGTCATGCAGTGCTGTGACCACACACACCTGAGGTCACACAGCTGCTGTGTCTCCAAAACCTTCTCTGAGCTGCTGCGTATCTGTAGATGTGTTGTTATGTGCAGTGATGGAAAGTCAAGTATTGAGGTACTCATACTTAGTTGAGTCTTTTCTTTATATGCCACTGAATTCTTCTAATCCTTGCCTTGCCTCGTTCTTGTTCTAGTCTGAAACAACCGGACGGCAGCCCAGCTCTAAATACTGCAGCCCAAATCGCTCCCCTGTGTCCCTGTTTAATGTCTGTAGAGCTGCATATTTGGCTCTCCCTGTCACTCTGACAGAAGCTGTGTTGAGTTGTGTGATCAACAGGGGTCAAACACAGCTGGCAGCTCCACACCAGGCTGCGTCAGGTCCACCAGCCTCTGAAAGTTCCACCTCACCACTCCAGTCAAGGCCTGGGCCTGGAAGAGCTCACAGGAACCCGGTTCCCTGTCACCCACTTGCTTGGTGAAGGTGGAAGCCCTCCTGCTGAGATGTGCCTCTCAGGGGAATCCAAATAGGTACAGCAGCTCCTGCGCCCTTGGTGTAATTGAGCTGCAAGGTGCCATCATACCTGTAT